ACCACCTGTCCCCACACTCCATCCCAACTACCACCTGTCCCCACACTCCATCCCAACTACCACCTGTCCCCACACTCCATCCCAGCCACCACCTGTCCCAACACTCCATTCCCAGGTGCCACCTTGTCCTCACACACCATTCCAGCCACCACCTGTTCCCCACACCCCATCACCTCTGCTGACCTTCTAACCCTAATTGTCCCCATTCCAGTCCCCAGATCCTAATCCATACCAGGTGTCAACACCTTGTTCCCAGTGCACACCCCACCCTAACACCGTCACCGAGTCTTCTCCAACCCTCACCGTCATCCGGAGTCTCTCTCACTAGTGCTCCTTCCAATGGAGGCCTCCCTGCCCCGCCCCCGCATCCTCCAGAAACACTGTTGCCTGACCTGCCAGGTCCTATCTGTCCCTGACATCCTGTCCCTCCAGGGTCCCTCTCCCTCGAAGGTCACCCGCCTGCTCTGTTCTCACTGTGCCTGCGCCTCCTTTCAGCACTGGGGCCCAGGGTGCAGGCTGCTGAGGGAGCTGGTAGCCCCACCCAGGGCTGTGCTGCCCTTGTGCGCCTCCCACAGAGCGGGGGACAGAGGGAGCTGAGGAGTGGAGGTGGCCTGCCTGGCCCCTGCCTGCTCACAACTAAGAGACATACACCGTGTATCAAGGTTTACAACCCTTCCCACGGTTTACAATCTTCCTGGTGTTTTTACAGGTAAGGAAACACCCAGAGGTGAAGCCGCCGGTCCAAGGTCCCACAGGCTGGGGAGTGGGGAATGGGGCTCTGAACCCTGACAGTTCACTATGGGAGGGTGGGGGTGGAGGGAGTTGATGTTCTTCACCCCCCACCCCCCACCAACCCAGGTCAGCACCACGACCCTTACTGAGCAGTGTGTGCTGTGGGCCAGGTTCTGAGCGTCAACAACGCATGCACTCAGATCTCCCTGCAGCCCAGCCAGGAAGGCACCTGCAGCCCATACTCCGGATCCGAAGGCAGAAGCTCAGGCAGAGGAGGAGTCGAGTCAAGGTCACCGTTCAGTCCCACGGGGCAGGTGCACGGTGACCTCTGGGGTCAGGTACCATTAACCACCCAGAGTGGAGGCCCAGCACTGCGTCCCCTGTTCGCTGGGTCCCTGCCTCTGCTGTGGGTCTGATGACTGCCCACCCTCCTGGGGTGGGGACCCCAGGCCGCTGAAGGTACCTTGCCCAAGGTCACGGGGCAAGTGTAGGGATTTGAACCCAGGCCAGCAGGCTCCCCTGAGTGGTGAGCGCTCTACTCCTCAGGCCCCAGGTGGCTGGAGGCCCCAGGCCCTCTCCCTCCCAGGGGAGGCTGGAAAGGGGAGGAGATTCTAGTCCTGATAAAGGCTCCCATCTCAGCTGAGATAAGAAGATGGGTAAAAAAAATCACCATCAGGTGGCACCAAGGAGACCCACCTGGGGGTGACCTGGCACCCCACTGTCAGCAGCATGGGGCTGAGGGAGCCCTGTGGGGGGCAGCTGGGGCGGAGTGGGGGTGAGGAAGCCCCCAGGAGCCGGGGGTGGGAGCTAAAATTGGCCGCCACCACCAGCTGGCCCAGTTCCCTGCTGCCCGGCTGGCGCCCCAACACCACTGAGCCTGTTGCTAGGGAGCCTCTGGAGAAGGGGACGCTGGGAGGTGGGGGCCCAGGAACCCCAGAGCGGGGCAGGGGAGTGTGACACCCTGGCCCCCCACCTCTGCCGTGACTGTCATCATGGTAACCAGGTGACAGGGCAAAGACCACAGCTTCTGAAGCCGCTGCTGCCTCTACACCTCGAAGGTGGAGAAGCAGGTCTTCCGACAAGACTGGGAGCGGAAAGGGTCGTCCTCAAAGCCCTACTCTGTAGAAGTAGGAGAAACAGAACCCATTTCACAGGTGGAGAAGGCGAGGCTCACAGAGGGGAGGCCACAGGGCTGGCGAGGAAGGAGCAGAAACCAGCCCATCCGAATAATCAAAGCAACAATAACAACGCCAACTGAAGCCACCTCCCACCCTCGCGCTCAGGATCCTGGCTCCGCACCACCTCCCCAGCCCGGCGATAGCATCAGCCCCGTTTCAGAGATAAGGCAACTGAGGCTCCCAGGCGGCTGTACAGTGTGCCCTGGGCAGGCGGGGGGAATCCAGGACTGCTTGACTCATCTCAGGGAACGCTTCCTAGACTTCAGG